GCATGCATTGTGCTGTATAGTGATACTGGTAACATTAAACACAGCATGCATTGTGCTGTATAGTGATACTGGTAACATTAAACACAGCATGCATTGTGCTGTATAGTGATACTGGTAACATTAAACACAGCATGCATTGTGCTGTTGTAAGTCTTAGTTTTAAAAGTAGCTGCTTAGACATACCGTTCTCGTTTGAATCGTTTCTGCCGTTCCTTCAACTTCTCAGAATAATGGAGTGTTCCCCGAAACATGCACGATGTCCAAGCATGTACACACACACACATACACACACACGCACATGCACACACACACACACACACACACACACACACACACACACACACACACACACACACACACACACATGCCCACAACAATGTTCAGTATTCCTGAAAACCCTAGCGAGTCTGGTTGCGGAAAGGAATGCTGATCTGAACTATTCTTTTGTGAAGAATCATCTGCGGTGCAAGATTTCATTTTGCTGAAGCACACGATAGGCTATCGTGTGCTTCAGGGGCGCTCGAACATCCTATAGCTGCAGGCGGATACCCTTCGCAGCCGAATGCAAGCTCAGGGCTAGACAGCAGTAATTTCTTGGTACCACCCTTCTGCAGGAAATTTGTAGTCACTGTCATAATAACAAGTCCCTATCACATTTAAATGCGTTGTCTTGTTCTTCCATTCTTGTTCTTACTTTCTACTGACTGTAATGAAAAGAATTTGTAGTAGAAGTAGTGGGCGTGTGTAAGCGTGTGTGCACGTGTGAGCATGTGTGTATGTGTGTGTACCTTGTCCGACGGTGATGTTCTGTCGGGGGTGCCTCCAATGGCACTGCTCACCACGCTGCCATCGCCACCGCCAACCGCCATGGTGGCGGCCATCAACGGCATGGTAACGGAGCTGCTGTTGGTCGCCGATGCAGTCATGCCGGGTTTTGGCATGCTTCTAGGATGCATTCTAGTATTTCTACCTCCTAGTGCACACACACAGACACACACACATACAGTATAGTGGAGAATAACACAGAGAATCAGACTGATGCTTGCACAAGTCTTCAATAGCTGGTAAAGTTGTAGAAGCAGCAGGAGCAACAGCAGCAGCAGCAGCAGCATTAGAAACATACTGGCTACCATACTCCGTGCCTAAGCACAAACATTGGCAAAAGTCAGTAGCCCACCAAATATCCCAGAGAGGTGTGAGGTAAAACATGCTGTGTTTTATTTCTCTCACAGCAAATGAGAAGGTTGGCCAACAACTAACGGGTAACTTATTGAACCGCCAATTCGTCAGTGCTGGCGTACAGGTTGACCCTGACGCCCTTATTCCCACTATTTCCTATTTACCTCCACCAGCAACTACATTGCACTCCCTGATCATCACCTCATCGACTGTTTACAAGTATATCGCAAGGCTGCCACTGAACACATCCCCCGGAGCTGATAAGATCAACAATGAGATTCTCAGGAAACTGAGGTAATCAATTGCACGCCCACTCTCCATTCCTTTTGACCTATCCCTCTCTTGAGTATTTCGCTCCTGCTTTTGTAGCAGTTGAGCACTCTCATGTGGGGTAGAGCCTTTGCTGTTTGCATTTTGCAGCGCTCACTGACTTTTCGGTTTGAGCACTCTGGCAAGGTACATTCGGGCCTAGTTTAAATATGGCTTGTGAAATTATATTTTTCATTGCTATCTGGTCTGGCCTCATTTTCTCTGTGCCGCGCCGATGAGTCCACAGAGGACGAAACAGTTCTGTCCGCAGATTGAGTAACCTATCCCTCTCCTCTGCCACATTCCCGTCACGATGGAAATCAGCCACCGTCATTCCAGTGTACAAAAATAGAGGCGACAAGAACAACCTGTCTAATTACCGACCAATCTCCCTCCTGTCCTGTGTCTCCAAACTGCTGGAGAGGACAGTGTACGGCCGCTTGTATGACCATATTTCCCCTCTCCTTCACCCCTCACAATCTGGCTTCCGTCGTAAGGACAACACATCCCTGCAATTGTCCCACATAATTCAAGACCTCTGCTCTCTAAAAGACCAGCGGCAGGTTTCCTGCATCTGTTTCTTTGACCTCCCCAAGACCTTTGACACCGTGTGGCACAAAGCCTCATCGTCAAACTTCGTGCTCATGGTCCCTCCGGCTTCCTCCTCGCCTGGATAACTAGTTATCTATCCGACCCAAATCAGCACGTCACAGTGAATGGAACTCTATCTGACCCCGAATATTTGACGTATGGAGTGCCCAAGGGCTCCATTTTGGCTCCCCTGCTCTTCCTCACATACCGTATATGTTGGACTCAGTAGAGCGTCCAGCCCCTATATGATGTCCAACCCCTATATAGAGTCCATTGGTCCAAAATCCACTGTACAGAGTCCAAACTTGAAATCAACTGTGAGCTCAAAGTTTCGATGGACATCACTCCCTGTATAGTGTCCAGCCAATTGGCTTCACCCCTATATAGAGTCCATTGGTCCAAAATCAACTGACTGTTACTGTACGGAGTCCAAACTTTGAAATCAACTATAAAAAGTCTTTATGTGGACAACACCCCCTGTATAAAGTCCAGCCAATTAGGCATCCCCTATCGAGTTCGAAAATAGACATAGGATCTGCTGTAAGCAGTGAATATTAACCAGAATGCGGCCTCTCCCTTTAATCCTTTACATCATTCACTTCTCAAGATAAAAAATATGTATTGAGACGCCACTGCAGCCACTTCATTACATGAAAAACCCTACAAACACCATCCTCAAATCAAGTGGTCTCTTCGCAGACGCTGCAAATTACAATATCTCAATCATGTAGTGTTGCCAAATTATTGTGCACGCACAGAAAATACGTAGAAAAAAACCAAGAATCGAAAGAGAATAATGGAGAGCCCAGGATTAATTATTTATTTTCAAATTATTGTGCGCGCGAGCACACACACACACACACACACACACACACACACACACACTACTACTACTACTAGCAGCATGACTGCCCAGAGGGGCAAGTGTCACCCCTATGGAAAGGGGACCAGAAAACGGGACACGGATCACAAGCAGGACCGCGAATGTCTGGCTAGGTCCTGCTGCCGGCACACACACACACACACACACACACACACACACACACACACACACACACACACACACACACACACACACACACACTTATACAACGCCAAGAAAACACCAAGAAAAGAGTAGAGACACAATACACACGCAACTTCAACAGCCATGCAAACGTCCAGCCATTTACATGTAAAGTCAAGAGGGATAACAAATAATTATACGAAACGAATGCGTACGGGGACGGGTACACGCACGTTTACATACACGTAGTAGTGTAAGAGAGTAACATAGTGCAGTGGTCAGCATAATACTAGCACATGCTGAGAGTGCAATAGCAAGCTTCACCATTGCTCATGGCCATGCAAATGTTCAGCAGCACTCAGTTCCGCAAGCTTCTGAAGATGAGCACATCTGCAACAAATAGATAGCACAAGGATACGCTTATTACCGTAATGATGCATGGGAGCACACAACTACCAAGTTCTCAACGAATGTGATGCTCAATGAAAATCAATCCACTCAAAGACCTGTGAACAGGTGATGGTGGGGACAATAATCTATTAGTAATACGAGGAACAATATCGTTTGTGCACACTCAAGACGCACAGACACACCAACATACATGTAGTGTACACAGTGTTTCACTTCACTGCAACTAAATTGAAATGAGATGATTCGAACAATCTGTACAGCGTTGCTGTCAGTCAGTCTTCCCCAAGATGGAAATGCAATGATTTGTTGTCACGAGGCAGTTTCACTGACACAATGTCATGTTCGTGACATCAAAACGGTTACTTCAGGGAATACGAGTATTAGCTTGAGAGGCTTTTTCTTGTCATTGGCATACAAGCAATCCTCCTAGTCCTACTACTACTAGTACACTGGCACTGCGTTTGTGGATCCCATTGTATTTGACATCATACTACAGGAAGAGTGTCGTGGAGTTCACATAATTATCACAGGGATAAAATACATTTCTCATGAAATAAAATAATAATTGATGATAGCTAGACGATCATATACGATTGATGCAAAGTCCTTGCAGTCCTTGAGGACTTACGAAGTGGTTGATTACTTTTAGGGCATTCATTCAAGCAACATCAAACAAACGCGATACGCTCCTTGAAAATGGAAAAAAAATTCAAGCATAACGACAGAACAGCTCAGCAGACCAATCGAAACGAGTAAAAGCTTCCTTACCTCAGTCATCGTCCTGCCATGTAGTTGGACAGCCTTTTGACACGGTGGTACAGGCAGCTCTTGTCCAGTCAAACAGGGGTATCCTTGTGGCATCGAACGGAAGAGAGTGTCAGTGTATCTGACTCGTCAGATTGCAACTGTGCTGAACTTTTCTCTTTCTCCGCTTTCTGCTTTCATCCCTCGCTCTGATGAAACCGTTCAAACGTCTTACTGACAGCAATGGCCAGCCAAACAGGGGATCCTTGTGGCGTCGAACAAAAGAGAGCGTCAGTGTACCTGACTCGTCAGATTTGAACTGTGCTGAACTTTTCTCGTTCTGCAATTTCTGCGTTCATCCCGCGCACTGATGAAACGTCTTCAGAGAACCACAAGACGCTTTCCAGATTTGATTTTGAACGTCTCCTTATCCTCCTTGGTTAGCTCGAGACAGATTACTGTCAGCAACTGCACAGCAGAATTGGCAGCCATGGCTGAAGTGAAGAAAGGAATGCGCTGCCACTAGACCATCAAAACTGAAAATGTGTTCTCTTTCGGGCACAACACACAGGACGGCGTGACTGGATAAACTGGACTCCTGGATCATGGACCGTGAATAGGGGACTTGTAGAAAAAGTGTACTCCTTATAGGGGATTGCGCGGCAGGATGAAGCTGATCAAAACTGAGTGGACTCCTGGACTCTGTATAGTGGATTTTGGACCAATGGACTCTATATAGGGTGCTGGACACCATATAGTGCATGGACTCTATACTGAGTCCTACATATATTCTCTATTATAAGCACATGTCTCCATTACTAGCACAGTCTCTAATACTAGCACACTGTGAGCACCTTTTGAAACATTATAAGCACAGTCTCTATTACTAGCACGGTCTTGGTGGAAATCAATGCTGCATGCATGATATCTAGCATGTATTTCTTCTTGCTCTGTATGAATGCATTGGTTGAAAAAATATAAGCACGGTCTTCAATATAAGCGCGGTCTCCAATATAAGCGCGGTTTCCAATATAAGCACGGGGTAGAGGGGTGTTGAAAAAAATATAAGCACGGCGCTTATAATAGAGAATATACGGTACGTTAACCTTTTGCGCCCTGGTGCTAAATCTCCTGATTCCTGCCACCGGCCGCCCTGCCATACGCAGTAGTCCCAGTATGCATTTGAAAATTATCTTATTTCACTCACCAGTTTCGTAATTATTTCTTTTTGGTCGCATTGGAAAGCTACAGATGTCCTCTCTCTGAATATCGCCACTAGACACCCGGCAGGAGCAACAGAATCGCTTTCAAGCCTGTTGAGAGCTGCCCTATTGCGCCTGAGCGAGATTCTGTACCCACCTCCACAAATGTTATCGTTTCTCAATTTTTACTCAACGTAGAACGATGATTCAAAGTCCTGCAGATTCATGAAGCTCAATCGATTCATTTGATCTCTACTTCGCATGCGCTGTGCAGCGATGAGTCACCGGGAAAGTCCCCCGTTTGAGGCACGCCGACGCACTTGAAGCGCTCTGCGTACAAATTTTCGAAACAATTTCAAGCGTATCCGTGTTTCGTTCTTCGATACTCAGTGATTCCGCACCGCGCTATATCAAACGACGAACCACTGGAAAGCTTATTCTCTCACCTTTCCAATGAGCCATCATTCGCGACAATCGGATAAAGGACAATGGAGTTACGACAATTTGAACAGTGATGTATATGCACTGTACAAGTATGCGCTTTTACTTGACGCACATATGCGGCATCAGGAAATCAGGGTATGACGTTTTGACGCACATGTGCGGCATCAGTCCGGAAAGGGTTAATGACCCCCCCCCCCCCCCCCCCCCTATGCAATTCCCAATATAGCATACGAGCAGCGTTCCTACGTCTGGATTCGCCGTGTCAAAATCATATTCCACGACAACCCTGGACAACAGTAGCATACATCAAACTGCCTTACTTCCTGTGCTGCCAGGATAAGACTGCGCTGTGTCGCCGGAGTAGAGAGTGCCAGTGGCACCCATTCCCGGTAGCATGTCGTCACCAAACATCTGTACAGAAGACCAGCAGTAAAGAACACACAGTTACTGAGACCAAGCGGTGGAAATGTGTCAGGGTTTTGCAAAGGTGAGAAAGAAAGAACGGAGAAAACAACTGATGCAATATTTTGACCCTGGACGAAAATCGAGTGTCTCTGCCACAGCGCGTTCCCCAGCGCTTTACAAGCCTGTATATACATGAATGTATTGAAGTGCCGCAATGAATAAAACGAGTGCTCGAAATCCAAACGGGTACACTTTTGCAAACGGTACCTGCGATTATCACGCCACATTCACATATATACTGTACAAGGACCTTCCTTGATATTCCAACACTAACTGTCTCATACATGGTCTGATCCAGAGATCTCTACAGGTGGTTGTAGTTTATCCAAAGCTGAATAGCTGATACATGTACAGTACATGCATATGAACTCCAGTAGTAGATTTGTAAATTTAGGGGGTTCCCCTTAACCCCCGGAAGCACCTGGACCCGTCCCTGTTATAGACTTCAGAACCTTACCTGGGGGAGTTGCTCCTTTCGCTTCTTCTCACGAGCAGCTTTGTGTTGCGCTCTTTCCTTCAGTGCCGCTGAAGACGTTTGTCCGTCAATGTCTGCTCTCTGGTTCACGTCGGCAGCCCGTAATTGCTGCTCTTCAGGTTTCAGGTCCTTCAATTTTTCATCCGGCCCGAGCCCCAATTGTTCCTTGAGACTTTTAATTTCTAAATCTTGAGCATCCATTTTAGCCTGCATCACGCGACCAAACAACAAGTGAGGCAGAGTCCAGCAAGGGTACGACAAGAGAGCACAGAGTACAGAGTACAGAGTACAAAAGAGTACGGCAAGCATGCATAAAATCAGAGAGTCAAGAAGTGAATGGAGGAGGGAACAAAGTTAGAGCTCTTTTCGTCTTTTTTCTTAAGTTCACAGCCTGTCTGTTGCCCACTCCCAGCGGATAAGGTGCAGGTGGGCGTTGATCTTCTTTTTGAACGTCTCCAGTCTTTTCTTTGCTGGCGGGCTCAGCCGAACGCACTGCGGGAGCTGGTTCCAGACCTCCACAACAGCGTTAGGGAAGGACCGAAGGACATAATTCAGTGCTCTGAGCGCAAGAGTGGAGGCGAGCTGGAACTGGTGCGAGAGATGCTGTTGTGTGCGTTGGCTATGGCGTGATGTGTTGGTAGCTCGGGATGGAAGAAGAGCGAGGAGCATGTCTGGGCAAGTCGAAAAGTGGAGCTTGTACAGAAAGCAGAGTGCCCCGACCATTCTGCGGATGTCCAGGCTAGAAAGGTAGGGTCCATCACCGATAAGGCAAAAACCATGGCGTTGGATGGCAGTGAGGCGAGTCGGAGTGGCGGGTGCAGCGCTCATCCACACGAGCATGCCGTACTCCACGACCGGGCGGACAAAGCGCTTGTAGATCACGCCAGAGCTTCTGGGGTCCAGCAAATATGAGGATTCCCGGAGGAAGCCAATACGCTGCAAGCCTCAAATTACCAATTGACTGATATGAGCTGTAAAGGACAGGTGGTGTTCAATCAGGATATCCAGCCGCTTCAGCTGGTAGACTTCTGGAACAAATGTGCCCTGGAATACAATCGGTGGGACGAGACTGTGTTGCAATGGTGGGAAATCAGGAGGGACTGAGTCTTTGTAGTTTCAAACCTAAGGTGCCAGGCCATTCCCCAGTCTGCCAGCGCATTTACAGCAAGCTGGAGTGCGGTAACATCTTCGGGTATGGCAGTATCGGTCGATATGCACTTGCATAAGGTGGTGTCATCAGCATAATACAGCAAGCTGGAGTGCGGTATCATCTTCGGGTACGGCAAAATGGGTCGATATTCCCTTGTATAAGGTGTTGTCATCAGCATAACACAGCAAGCTGGAGTGCGGTAACATTTTCGGGTACGGCAGAATGGGTCGATATTCACTTGTATAAGGTAGTGTTATCAGCATAATATAGAAAGCTGGGCCCCAGCAGGTAGGTGATCCTCAGCATTATTCGTATAGAGTCGGGCCCAAGATGCCACCCTTGGGACGCCTGCCATGATGGGGTTAGCAGAGCGCTGTCCGCTCACTACAGTATGAAGCTTGCGGTTGGCAAAGTAGCTTCTGAGCCACGGTGAAGAGGTTCCTGGAGCCCATACCGCTCAGCTATGTACAGGACACCAGGGTGCGACACTTTATCGAACGCGCCAGCAATATCCACTGCCAGGACGCACACAAGTCCATCACTGTTGGCAACTCGGCTCCATTCGTGTTGAAGAGCTAGGAGGTCAGTTGCGCCAAGTCCAGAGCGGACGCCAAATTGACGAGCAGAGAGAATGGAGTTGCTATCGATGAAGTTCATAATGCTCCGGTTGATTATGGTTTCCATACATTGGGAGATAATGGAGAGAAGGGATGTGGGGTGGTAGTTGTTCACACAGGATTGCGAACCCTTCTTGTGAACCGGGACGACGTTCGCCACCTTCCAAGTAGATGGTACTTGGTCCGCGTCAGCAATATTGTCGCTTATCTTTCGACAATTTGAACTTAGACTTCAGACATGAACGCGTGCACTTGAAGTGATAAAACTTGGTACGATGGACGGTACGGTATAGAATGACAACTAGCTGTAAGGAATTTATTGTCCAAGGAAGGATTCCTACTTTTTTCGGTCCTCCTCGTCGCTGCTCTCGACGCTGGTGACAAATATTTTTGCTCGGGATCGACTCTCTTGCTTTTGTAAGCTCATCTCTCTTTCTCTCTGCTGCCTGGCTATTTTCTAAACAGAAGTCCTCGTGACGGTCGCCTTCTCTATAGGACTTCGTGTGAGCAGTACGACAGCCTGTGTGGTTCAAATCAGACGCCGTTCTTTGCAAGATTATATTTTGAACGACGACGACGCGTTTAGTACTTGCAAATCTCCACGACGTGCTGGATACTCCGAGCGTTGAGTTGGAGGTAAGGGAGCTGAGACCTCAGCTTGACGAGCGATCTCTGAGGTGAGCGATCTCGGCCGTTCAGCAAAATGGAGCTGATTCCGAGTAGCCGATTACTTTTTTGTGGCTTGCGCTGCTCTTGCCTGCACAGCGTAACAAGATAATCTATTTTGATGCGGCGCTGTATCAATCAGAATCACCCACCCGTCGCTCTCCAAATCCACTCGAACTGTAGCTAGACCTTTCAGGTACTAGTAAACTAACTTACTAACCAAAATTGGGATGAAATGGGCTACCAAGTGAGCTTCTGCGACATATAAACAAAGCTGAAAGATAAGCGACAATAACGCTGACGCGGACCAAGTATGTATGCTGTTTTGCAGACTTTTATCCGGAATTGTGTCAACTTGATACTTTTGGTACTTCCTCCGCGTCATCGAAATTGTCGCAGTTTGACTAGTGACTTGTTACTTGTTACTGACAACTCCATAAGCTAAGCCATTCAAAACTTATTACACAGTATGATAGTCTGAAGACTAGAGTAACGTTCCAGGACTGTTGGACTGTGAGTTTTCATGCAGAGATGAAGTCCTCGTCGTCGCTGATGTCAATGGACGCAAAAATATCGTTCCGAAATATTTCAAGGAGGTTGAAAGTTGGTCGCGCCTCATCTCAAATGCTTTGACTTTCTCCACAGGACAAGAGCTGCTATGCTTGCCGTCTGCTAGCTCTGGATGATTTCTACTTCACCACCAACGAAGCCTAGTAAGAACACACGATCGTTGCGAGGTCGGTTGATTACCGTCGGCGGAATCACCTCGATCTTGAAATGAACTTTTTTTAGCCATGGCATGCCCATTTATTTTAGCTGTGTGGTCACAGATCATGCAGGTAAGTGTACTATCACGTCCAGCGCGCCCTGTTTTTCAGCATCACTGGCCATGGTACGGCACCTGCGCGTGCATCACGACACTAGCACTACACGGCTCTTGCAGTTAAAATCGTGTACTGAGTGACTCAGCCACTGGTATACCATGGTAGGCACCTGCGCGTGCATCACTAGCACTAGTTGTAGAGTCTACACGGCTCTTGCAGGTACAATCATGTACTGAGTGTCTCAGCCAGAGCGACAAATTTTATCGCTGTTGCAGGCATTTAGTTTGCTGACCCCTCGATGTTTCTCCAAGCGCTGCCACTTGTTCCACGAAGTCATTCTCACCCCAGCTAAGGTAAAACAGTAATGAGGCTTGAGTGAATGGCCATAAGCACGAGAAATGTGCAGGCTGCAATGCCTGACTGATCTCAGCGAGTCGAAATTACCATCGCAGCGACATCAGCGAAGAAATTGCGTCTCGTTCAAAAATTCCAGCTTCCAACAACAGAAAATAGAACTTTGCCGTCACCCTATACTGATGATTATCACCTATGTCCGATTCCTTGCCTCTGGTACGAGTGCTGGTGAGTAAATACCCCGCTTTATATCAAAAGTCAAACTGCGACAATTTCGATGACGCGGAGGAAGTAGTACTTCGTCTATAAGAGCATGCGCTTATAAGTGAAAGTGGGCTTATATCAGAATAGAGGCACATACGCCTATATGTGGGTTACTACGGTACACGTATGTAAGTCTGCGTGTCAAAGGGAAATATACCTTAAATCAAATGTTCACCAGTTGTAGTCTTCGGGGTACTGACTCGAATGGTCTTGGTCCGAGGAAGCTGAGACGCTCCCTTCCTCCTTTATTCCCAATCGAACTCGCGCACTTCCACCGAAACTGGGTGACTGCGCCCTACTAGATGGGGATTTGTATGCAAGATGTCACTAAGGTCCTATCCACACTACAACAAAAACCGCTTACAAGTCACTTTTCCTTGTAAATTGTCATGGAGAACCGTGGGAAACGGTGCGAAAGTGGAAAAGTCGCTTGAACGTAATCAGCAACTTCCGAACCCCAATACAAGGCCACTTTTTACTTTCAAGTAGCTTTTCAAGGTTTCGGAAGTAGCTAGTTGTTGAAGTATTTGTTGAAGTATCTTGAGAAATTGCCGAGGGTTGTGTTCTGTGAAGAGCTGGAAGGAAAGCTCATTGAGCTGTGGGCTGCAGAACAGAAAGCGAGCAATGGGACGATGAAAAAGCGGTCGGTGAAGGAGACGGAGATTGCCGTGAAGTTAAATTTATTCGGCCGCGAGCTGTATGGCAATAAATTTCAGAATAAGATCACAGTGCCGATTGTCCACAATTGACGGCCAAGCAAAGTAGTGATTGCCCTCAGGAGCAGCAAGAGTCCTGCTGTGGGAAAGAAAGAAGATTCTGACTGTTCATCCGTTTTCAAATCGCGCGTGCAGTCAAAAAAACTTGGATCGGCTCAATGATTGGCTGAGGTATGTTGCAAACAGCAACCTCTTTCGTCTTCGATTGTCCATAACTGGAGGCATTCTCCACTTGAATCAACAAACAGGTAGACATAGGTAGCAACTTGGAAGAATGAGTATGTAAGCGAAGTAAAGTGTATCGGGGGGAATGCATGCAGGGCGATAGTGTGGGTTCGAATCCCAGGTTATGGCTAAAAAAATTGGAGAAATGAAAAATTTATAACGTCCCTGTGCGTTTTTTGCCTAGTTCATCAAGGTGGTAGACGGTGTCGTATTACCCTCGAATGATCAGCTAGGCAGCTAGGCAAAAAAGCATAGCGTAGGGCCCTGAGCTTACAAGCTCTCTCGTTTATGGCCATTTTTGTAAAAAGAAAAAAAGGGGGGGGGGGCTGCGACTTACAATCGAGGATGATGTTCTACTGAAGTGAGTATATCAAAACAGTATGACTCAAACCTGAAAATAGGGGTGCAACTTATAATCGAGTGCGACTTATACTGTAGTTTGGGAACACGGTAGTTGTGGGCAATCGGGTCAGCAAGACGTTCCACACACCTAGCATTCACCCAGCTCACACCTCTCATATCCATGGACAACGACATAACACTGACAACACTACTCTCACCTGTAATTGCTGCTGTTCACGTTTGTAGTCCTTGCGCCTTTCATGCTGGTTTTCTCCCGACAGCCTCGCTTTTTCCAGCTGACCCTGGACGAGTGGAGGTTCTAATTCTGCACGCTGTGAAATCTGCATCAAGTGACCAAACAAGAAGGCAGAGTACGCAAAGATACGACAAGAGTACAGCCACGGTACAGGCAAACAAAACAACTTCTTTTCTTTTCATGCAATGGCTGGCCATCACTCCTCTCTCACACTTTGCGTGCCAATTGGTCATGTGCCACGAAATGAGTGAAACGAGAGAGCTTGGAAGCTCAGGGCCCTACGCTATGCTTTTTTGCCTTGATGACCTAGACAAAAAAAGCATAGGGATGTTATAAATACTTTTAAAAAATCCTTTTTTTTTAAGACATAACCTGGGATTAGAACCCGCAATATCGCGCGCCCTGCATGCATCCCCCGATACACTTCGCATACATAGTAATTCTTCCAAGTTGTTTCACATTGCGATCTTGCATTTGAAAGCCCTATTTGAATATGCATTGTGGCCAGTCGTCTTTGATGGCACGGTACGGTAGGGGATAGGTACGGGACAGGTACGATCGAGGGTAATACGATACCGTCTCCCGTACCGTACCATACCATCAAACACAGCTGGCCACATACAGCTGCCCGCAATATTCAAATATGGCTTTCAAACGCAAGATTATAACGTGAAGCAACTTGGAAGAATGGGTATGAATGCGAAGTGTATGGGAGAATGCATGTAGGACGATAGTGCGGGTTCGAATCCCAGGATATGCCTGAAAAAAAAAATAGGAGAATTGAAAAATTTATAACATCCTATGCTTTTTTGCCGTCAGATACGGATAGCGCCAGGCGTGACACAAACACACAAACAAACAAATACCAAATTAAAGCTGTGTGGACCCTGGCTAGCGCCAGACGTTACTGAAGTAACGTCTTCTGCATAGCTACGGGAATAAATATATTTGTTAACCCAGCGTGTATCACTGTATATTTCTCTGAAAAACATGAAGACCACAGCAAATCCATGTCCGGGCAACCTGTGGGCGCAAACTGTGGATTTCGTTGCAGAAACACGAAGAGCACAGCGAATCCGTGTGAGGCGTAATCTGTGCATTTCCCTGAAAGAACACGAAGAGCCCAGCGAATCCATTTGGGGCGCAATCTGAAAATTCCCAGAATGAGCAAGCATGCTTGCGCAAACTGCAGATTGCTTGCGCATTGTGGCAATTCTCAGATTGATTGCGCAAATTCTCTGCAAGCTGTTTCGGCCATAAATGCCTCATCAGTACAGCTACGAGCTAAATAGGCCAAGCTACCAGCCATGGTGCAAAGGAGGCACCACAGACAATAAGATAGCTCGTCGCTCTAGCGCCAGAGTGCTCTACCGACGAAAGGTACCGGGCAATGCGTAATGCAGCAGCACTACAGCAGCCTGTGTGTGTGTGTGTGTGTGTGTGTGTGTGTGTGTGTGTGTGTGTGTGTGTGTGTGTGCGTATTTGTGTGTGTGTGTGTGTTGTGTGTGTCTGTGAGTGTGTGTGTGTGTGTGTGTGTGTGTGTGTGTGTGTGTGTGTGTGTGTGAGCACTCCATCACCTGTTTGATTGTTTCGGAACTGCAATAATACAGGTTCAAATAATTATTGTTTCCTTTTTGTGCGTATCTCTTGTCATCTCTCTTTTCTATACGTCGCACACCAGATGTACCCTATCCCTGTCTTTCTCCTGCTATCTCTCTCTGCTTGCTGTTTTGTGTTTCTGTTCCCACTGTCCCTCATCATACTCATGCTTGGGTGGAGGGCGGCGTGACCTGTTAGGGTAGCTGTCAATACAGTAAAGTACAGTGTGTGTGTGTATGTGTGTGTGTGTGTGTGTGTGTGTGTGTGTGTGTGTGTGTGTGTGTGTGTGTGTGTGTGTGTGTGTGTGTGTGCGTGCGTTGTCTTGTTCTTCCATTGTTCTTACTTTCTACTGACTGTAATGAAAAGAATTGGTAGTAGAAGTAGTGGGCGTGTGTAAACATGTGCGAATGCGTGTGTATGTATGCGTGTGCGTGCGGGTGGTTGGGTGCGTGCATGTGTGTGTGTGTATGTGTGGACTGCTTCTGGCTAGATTAACTCTTGTGTAATCAATGGTGCTAGTGAAGCTTATATCAGATCCACACTTAGTTAGCCACCCACACTAGTAGCAAGTATTACCTTCACTGGGGGCAGGGGTACCTGCAGTTGGATCCCGGGACGGATACCCTGATACTGTCGATCCTTTTTCTGCACCTTGTCCTCACCCACTTACTGAGGTGTGGTGAGCCCATAAGTGGGATCATTTCAAGTCCACCCTAGTTTGGGGATTTCAGGGGGTGTCGGCCGTTGGGCAGTTAATGGCCAATAGAGTCATCTTTCCAAGATTCCTTTTGAGTTTCTCTCCCCTTTCCCGGGGAGACCCACGTGACCAGTTTTGGCAGTGAGCATGTACAAGTACAAGTGCAAGTGTGTGTGTGTGTGTGTGTGTATGTGTGTGTGTGTGTATGTACCTTGTCGCACGGTGATGTTCTGTCAGGGGTGCCTCCAATGGCACTGCTCACCACGCTGCCATCGCCACTGCCAAACGCCATGCTGGCGGCCATTAGCGGCATGGTAACAGAGCTGCTGTTGGTTGCCGATGCAGTCATGCTGGGTTGTGGCATGCTGCCAGGATGCATTCTACCCCCTAGTGCACACAAACACATAACCGTATTATCTACATTATGAGCCCAGCGCTTATGTTTTTTTCAATCAGTCCGGACCCTGGGCTTATATTGGAGACTGGGATTCTACAAGAGTCTGGGCTTGTCATTTTTAAACCACCTGGTATATGTTCATTGCATATTTATTTATTTATTTATTTATTTATTTATTGCAGCATCTCATAGCACAGTGAGAACACCGGCCAATACAAAGAGAGAGGGTGTTAGCCAACCACGGCAAGGAAGGGAGAAGGGGAGGAGAAGAAAAAAATATCATTTTTCATTATATCAGTATCAGAAAGTTTCCCAGCAGGTACCAGGACTGCAGTTTTGTGCTTCCTGGTACACTGAGTCTGTACTTTAGACCTCGGGGATCACAAACGTTTACCACAGCATGTGTTTATGTGATACTGTGTGACGTCAAACATGCATGAACATGATCCATACGGTTCTCCATTATAAGCCCTGCGCTTATACTGGAGACTGCGCTTGTATATCTTTGAAACCTTCTTGGAGTGCGCTTATATAGAGACTCGGCCCTTACAAGAGACTGCGCTTGTAATAGAGATAATACGGCATTGGAGAATAACAAAGAGACAGACTGATGCTTTCATAAGTCTTCACCAGCTGGTAAAGTTGTAAAAGCAGCAGCAGCAGCAACAGAGACATAGTGGCTACTATACTGCCCACTCTCCCTTCCTTTCGACCTATCCCTCTCTTGAGTATTTCGCTCCTGTTTTGTAGCAGTTGAGCACTCTCATGTGGGGTAGAGCCTTTGCTGTTTGCATTTTGCAGTGCTCACTGACTTGTCGGTTTGAGCACTCTGGCAAGGTACATTTGGGCCTGGTTTAAATCTGGCTTTTGAAATTATATTTTTCATTGCTATCAGGTCCGGCCTCATTTTCTCTGTGCTGCGCTGATGAGTCCACAAAGGACGACACAGTTCTGACCGCAGATTGAGTAACCTATCCCTCTCCTCTGCCACATTCCCGTCACGATGGAAATCAGCCACCGTCATTCCAGTGTGCAAAAATAGAGGCGACAAGAACAACCTGTCTAATTACCGACCAATCTCCCTCCTGTCCTGTGTCTCCAAACTGCTAGAGAGGACAGTGTACGACCGCTTGTATGACCATATTTCCCCTCTTCTTCTCCCCTCACAATCTGGCTTCCGTCGTAAGGACAACATATCCCTGCAATTGTCCCACATAATTCAAGACCTTTGCTCTCAAAAAGACCAGTGGCAGGTCTCCTGCATCTGCTTCTTTGACCTCTCCAAGACCTTTGACACAGTGTGGCACAAAGCCTCATCGCCAAACTTCATGCTCACGGTCTCTCCGCCTCCCTACTCGCCTGGAAAACTAGTTATCTATCCGAGCCAAATCAGCACGCCACAGTGAATGGAACTCTATCTGACCCCGAATCTTTGACGTCCGGAGTGCCAAAGGGCTCCATTTTGGCTCCCCTGCTCTTCCTCACATACGTTAATGACCCCCCCCCCCCCCCCCCCCCCTATGCAATTCCCAATATAGCATACGAACAGCATTCCTACGTTCGGATTCGCCGTGTCAAAATCATATCCCACCACAACCCTGGACAACAGCAGCATACATCAAACTGCCTTACTTCCTGTGCTGCCCGGATAAGACTGTGCTGTGTCGCCGGGGTAGAGAGTGCCAGTGGCACCCATTCCCGGTAGCATGTCGTCACCAGACATCTGTACAGAAGACTAGCAGTAAAGAAAACTCAGTTACTGAGACCAAGCAGTGGAAATGTGTCAGGGTTTTGCAAAGGTGAGAAAGAAAGAGCAGAGAAAACAACTGATGCAATATATTGACCCCGGACGAAAAGCGAGTGTCTCTGCCACAGCGCGTTCCCCAGCGCTGTACACGCCTGTATATATGTTGGACTCAGTAGAGCGTCCAGCCCCTATATGATGTCCAACCCCTATATAGAGTCCATTGGTCCAAAATCCACTGTACAGAGTCCAAACTTGGAATCAACTGTGAGCTCAAAGTTTCGATGGACATCACTCCCTGTATAGAGTCCAGCCAATTGGCTTCACCCCTATATAGAGTCCATTGGTCCAAAATCAACTGTACGGAGTCCAAACTTTGAAATCAACTATAAAGAGTCTTTATGTGGACAACACCCCCTGTATAAAGTCCAGCCAATTAGGCATCCCCTATCGAGTTCGAAAATAGACATAGGATCTGCTGTAAGCAGTGAATATTAACCAGAAAACGGCCTCTCCCTTTAATCCTTTACATCATTCACTTCTCAAGATAAAAAAATATGTATTGAGGCGCCACTGCAGCCACGTCATTACATGAAAAACCCTACAAACACCATCCTCAAATCAAGTGGTCTCTTCGCAGACGCTGCAAATTACAATATCTCAATCATGTAGTGTTGCCAAATTATTGTGCACGCACACACACATGCACACACCCACACAACGCCAAGAAAATACCTAGAAAAAAACCAAGAATCGAAAGAGAATAATGGAGAGCCCAGGATTAATTATTTGTTTTCAAATTATTGTGCGCGCGCGCACACACACACACACACTTATACAACGCCAAGAAAACACCAAGAAAAGAGTAGAGACACAATACACACGCAACTCCAACAGCCATGCAAACGTCCACCCATTTACATGTAAAGTCAAGAGGGATAACAAATAATTATACGAAACGAATGCGTACGGGGACGGGTACACGCACGTTTACATACACGTAGTAGTGTAAGAGAGTAACATAGTGCAGTGGTCAGCATAATACTAGCACATGCTGAGAGTGCAATAGCAAGCTTCACCATTGCTCATGGCCATGCAAATGTTCAGCAGCACTCAGTTCCGCAAGCTTCTGAAGATCAGCACACCTGCAACAAATAGATAGCACAAGGATACGCTTATTACCGTAATGATGCATGGGAGCACACAACTACCAAGTTCTCAACGAATGTGATGCTCAATGAAAATCAATCCACTCAAAGACCTGTGAACAGGTGATGGTGGGTACAATAATCTATTAGTAATACGAGGAATAAGATCGTTTGTGCACACTCAAAACGCACAGACACACCAACATACATGTAGCGTACACAGTGTTTCACTTCACTGCAACTAAATTGAAATGAGATGATTTGAACAATCTGTACAGCGTTGCTGTCAGTCAGTCTTCCCCAAGATGGAAATGCAATGATTTGTTGTCACGAGGCAGTTTCACTGACAATGTCATGTTCGTGACATCAAAACGGTTACTTCAGGGAATACGAGTATTAGCTTGAGAAGCTTTTTCTTGTCATTGGCATACAAGCAATCCTCCTAGTCCTACTACTACTAGTACACTGGCACTGCGTTTGTGGATCCCATTGTATTCGACATCATACTACAGGAAGAGTGTCGTGGAGTTCACATAATTATCACAGGGATAAAAATACATTTCTCATGAAATAAAAATTGATGATAGCTAGACGATCATATACGATTGATGCAAAGTCCTTGCAGTCCTTGAGGACTATTACGAAGTGGTTGATTACTTTTAGGGCATTCATTCAAGCAACATCAAACAAACGCGATACGCTCCTTGAAAATGGAAAAAAATTCAAGCATAACGACAGAACAGCAGACCAATCGAAACGAGTAAAAGCTTCCTTACCTCAGTCATCGTCCTGCCATGTAGTTGGACAGCCTTTTGACACGGTGGTACAGGCAGCTCTTGTCCAGTCAAACAGGGGTATCCTTGTGGCGTCGAACGAAAGAGAGTGTCAGTGTATCTGACTCGTCAGATTGCAACTGTGCTGAACTTTTCTCTTTCTCCGCTTTCTGCTTTCATCCCTCGCTCTGATGAAACCGTTCAAACGTCTTACTGGCAGCAATGGCCAGCCAAACAGGGGATCCTTGTGGCGTCGAACGAAAGAGAGCGTCAGTGTACCTGACTCGTCAGATTTGAACTGTGCTGAACTTTTCTCGTTCTGCAATTTCTGCTTTCATCCCGCGCACTGATGAAACGTCTTCAGAGAACCACAAGACGCTTTCCAGATTTGATTTTGAACGTCTCCTTATCCTCCTTGGTTAGCTCGAGACAGATTACTGTCAGCAACTGCACAGCAGAATTGGCAGCCATGGGCCGGCTGAAGTGAAGAAAGGAATGCGCTGCCACGAGGCAAGCAAAACTGAAATTTTTTTAAAAATGTGTTCTCTTTCGGGGCACAACACACAGGACGGCGTGACTGGATAAACTGGACTCCTGGACCGTGAATAGGGGACTTGTAGAAAAAGTGTACTCCTTATAGGGGATTGCGCGGCAGGATGAAGCTGATCAAAACTGAGTGGACTCCTGGACTCTGTATAGTGGATTTTGGACCAATGGACTCTATATAGGGTGCTGGACATCATATAGTGCATGGACTCTATACTGAGTCCTACATATACATGAATGTATTGAAGTGCCGCAATGAATAAAACGAGTGCTCGAAATCCAAACGGGTACACTTTTGCAAACGGTACCTGCGATTATCACGCCACATTCACATGTATACTGTACAAGGACCTTCCTTGATATTCCAACACTAACTGTCTTATACATGGTCTGATCCAGAGATCTCTACAGGTGGTTGTAGTTTATCCAAAGCTGAATAGCTGATACATGTACAGTACATGCATATGAATTCCAGTAGTAGATTTGTAAATTTAGGGGGTTCCCCTTAACCCCCGGAAGCACCTGGACCCGTCCCTGTTATAGACTTCAGAACCTTACCTGGGGGAGTTGCTCCTTTCGCTTCTTCTCACGAGCAGCTTTGTGTTGCGCTCTTTCCTTCAGTGCCGCTGAAGACGTTTGTCCGTCAATGTCTGCTCTCTGGTTCACGTCGGCAGCCCGTAATTGCTGCTCTTCAGGTTTCAGGTCCTTCAATTTTTCATCCGGCCCGAGCCCCAATTGTTCCTTGAGATTTTGAATTTCTAAATCTTTAGCATCCATTTCAGCCTGCATCACGCGACCAAACAACAAGTGAGGCAGAGTCCAGCAAGGGTACGACAATAGAGCACAGAGTACAGAGTACAGAGTAAAAAAGAGTACGCCAAGCATGCATAAAATCAGAGAGTCAAGAAGTGAATGGAGGAGGGAACAAAGTTAGAGCTCTTTTCGTCTTTTTTCTTAAGTTCACAGCCTGTCTGTTGCCCACTCCCAGCGGATAAGGTGCAGGTGGGCGTTGATCTTCTTTTTGAACGTCTCCAGTCTTTTCTTTGCTGGCGGGCTCAGTCGAACGCACTGCGGGAGCTGGTTCCAGACCTCCACAACAGCGTTAGGGAAGGACCGAAGGACATAATTCAGTGCTCTGAGCGCAAGAGTGGAGGCGAGCTGGAACTGGTGCGAGAGATGCTGTTGTGTGCGTCGGCTATGGCGTGATGTGTTGGTAGCTCGGGATGGAAGAAGAGCGAGGAGCATGTCTGGGCAAGTCGAAAAGTGGAGCTTGTACAGAAAGCAGAGTGCCCCGACCATTCTGCGGATGTCCAGGCTAGAAAGGTAGGGTCCATCACCGATTAGGCAAAAGCCATGGCGTTGGATGGCAGTGAAGCGAGTCTGAGTGGCGGGTGCAGCGCTCATCCACACGAGCATGCCGTACTCCACGACCGGGCGGACAAAGCGCTTGTAGATCACGCCAGAGCTTCTGGAGTCCAGCAAATATGAGGATTCCCGGAGGAAGCCAATACGCTGCAAGCCTCAAATTACCAATTGACTGATATGAGCTGTGAAAGACAGGTGGTGTTCAATCAGGATATCCAGCGGCTTCAGCTGGTCGACTTCTGGAACAAATGTGCCCTGGAATACAATCGGTGGGACGAAGACTGTGTTGCAATGGTGGGAAATCAGGAGGGACTGAGTCTTTGTAGTTTCAAACCTAAGGTGCCAGGCCATTCCCCAGTCTGCCAGCGCATTTACAGCAAGCTGGAGTGCGGTAACATCTTCGGGTATGGCAGTATCGGTCGATATGCACTTGTATAAGGTGGTGTCATCAGCATAATACAGCAAGCTGGAGTGCGGTAACATCTTCGGGTACGGCAGAATGGGTCGATATTCACTTGTATAAGGTGGTGTCATCAGCATAATACAGTAAGCTGGAGTGCGGTAACATTTTCGGGTACGGCAGAATGGGTCGATATGCACTTGTATATGGTGGTGTCATCAGCATAATACAGAAAGCTAGGCCCCAGCAGGTAGGTGATCCTCAGAATCATTCGTATAGAGTCAGGCCCAAGATGCCACCCTTGGGACGCCTGCCATGATGGGGTTAGCAGAGCGCTGTCCGCTCACTACAGTCTGAAGCTTGCGGTTGGCAAAGTAGCTTCTGAGCCAAGGTGAAGAGGTTCCTGGAGCCCAGACCGCTCAGCTATGTACAGGACACCAGGGCGCGACACTTTATCGAACGCGCCAGCAATATCCACTGCCAGGACGCACACAAGTCCATCACTGTTGGCAACTCGGCTCCATTCGTGTTGAAGAGCTAGGAGGTCAGTTGCGCCAAGTCCAGAGCAGACGCCAAATTGACGAGCAGAGAGAATGGAGTTGCTATCGATGAAGTTCATAATGCTCCGGTTGATTATGGTTTCCATACATTGGGAGATAATGGAGAGAAGGGATGTGGGGTGGTAGTTGTTCACACAGGATTGCGAACCCTTCTTGTGAACCGGGACGACGTTCGCCACCTTCCAAGTAGATGGTATGTATGCTGTTTTGCAGACTTTTATCCGGAATTGTGTCAACTTGATACTTTTGGTAGTACTTCGTCTATAAGAGCATGCGCTTATAAGTGAAAGTGGGCTTATATCAGAATAGAGGCACATACGCTTATATGTGCGTTACTACGGTACACGTATGTAAGTCTGCGTGTCAAAGGGAAATATACCCTTAAATCAAATGTTCACCAGTTGTAGTCTTCAGGGTACTGACTCGAATGGTCTTGGTCCGAGGAAGCTGAGACGCTCCCTTCCTCCTTTATTCCCAATCGAACTTGCGCACTTCCACCGAAACTGGGTGACTTCGCCCTACTAGATGGGGATTTGTAGGCAAAATGTCACTAAGGTCCAATCCACACTACAACAAAAACCGCGTACAAGTCACTTTTCCTTGTAACTTGTCATGGAGAACCGTGGGAAACGGTGCGAAAGTGGAAAAGTCGCTTGAACGTAATCAGCAATTACCAACCACACAACAAGCCGACCTGTTTGGGAGCTATTACGCGTTGTATTTCCAGGAGATAGGCAACAATTGCCGTATGCAATATGCAATATTCTGGTCCAATGCCAGAGCTAGTATTGCAAGCACCGCTGTGCGTTAGTATGGCCAATGCCGACACTAACTGGGGCAACAATTGCCCGGCGAGAATTCAGACGTGTCAATACACGAGCATGCAGTAGGGATACACTTGTGGGCGAATGTAGGCGCACTTGGCTCAATGCCGGCCTGACCCACGATCCCTACTGTTGAATTCAGATGTGTCAATACACGAGCATGCAGTAGGGATGCACTTGTGGGCGAATGTAGGCGCACTTGGCTCAATGCCGGCCTGACCCACGATCCCTACTGTTGAATTCAGATGTGTCAATACACGAGCATGCAGTAGGGATGCACTTGTGGGCGAATGTAGGCGCACTTGGCTCAATGCCGGCCTGACCCACGATCCCTACTGTTGAATTCAGATGTGTCAATACACGAGCATGCAGTAGGGATGCACTTGTGGGCGAATGTAGGCGCACTTGGCTCAATGCCGGCCTGACCCACGATCCCTACTGTTCTCCCTTACGGGATGGCTTAAAGGATGCACTTGTGAGCGAATATAGGCGCACTTGGCTCAATGCCGGCCTGACTCACGATCCTTACTGTTCTCCCTTTCGGGATGGTTTCGAATGGAGTGCTAGTGAGAGATGATGGGGTGGGTGGTGGTGATCAGAAACTGGCCGCGATAGTCAAACAATTTGACCGTCAGCACAGCAAAGCGAAGAGCAAGAAACAACAGCATGGCGAATTGGAGTAATGCGCATGCTCCGCACAGTCCCGTGCGGAAACGCGGGAATTCGGAGTGCGTGCATGTTATGCATGTACAAGTGTTGCTTATGGCAAGGATGTTGGTGTGTTGCTAACTCCACTTACCGTGCCATGCACGGAAACTTATATCTTCCGAACCCCAATACAAGGCCACTTTTTACTTTCAAGTAGCTTTTCCAGGTTTCGGAAGTAGCTAGTTGTTGAAGTATTTGTTGAAGTATCTTGAGAATTTGCCGAGGGTTGTGTTCTGTGAAGAGCTGGAAGGAAAGCTCATTGAGCTGTGGGCTGCAGAACAGAAAGCGAGCAATGGGACGATGAAAAAGCGGTCGGTGAAGGAGATGGAGATTGCCGTGAAGTTGAATTTATTCGGCCGCGAGCTGTATGGCAATAAATTTCAGAATAAGATCACAGTGCCGATTGTCCACAATTGACGGCCAAGCAAAGTAGTGATTGCCCTCAGGAGCAGCAAGAGTCCTGCTGTGGGAAAGAAAGAAGATTCTGACTGTTCATCCGTTTTCAAATCGCGCGTGCAGTCAAAAAAACTTGGATCGGCTCAATGATTGGCTGAGGTATGTTGCAAACAGCAACCTCTTTCGTCTTCGATTGTCCATAACTGGAGGCATTCTCCACTCGAATCAACAGGTAGACATAGGTAGGAACAACAAGATAAAGCCTCCACGAACAAATTTCTGAGTCGATGATTTCTCTTTCAGATCAATCTGGAACTCTCTGAGATAAAATTTTGAATATGAGGGGAAATTTCCACGGGCGCTCCTCATAAGTCACGTTTTACGCCGGCTGTTCTTGCGAGTGTGGATGCAAGTGCACTTGCACGCCACTTGAAAGAGGACGCTACTACGTTTCACACCTGTAGTGTGGATAGGGCCTGAAAGCGCCATGTCGTTGTTATAAAAGCACAGATGACCGCGATTGGCCCATATGTTGTAGTCTTTTGGACGCTGAGTCGACTGGTTTTGGTCGGAAAAGGCTGCGATGCAGCGTTCCTCCTTTATTCCCAATCGAACATGGTTGAACAAGCGGTCACGTGCTCTTGCGTACACCAGTCACCTGGTCACCGTGCCTGCAGGGTACAACTTCCTAGTTTTTGTGGTCCACTTTCACGACAATAACTCACACAGAAGTCTCTGCTGTGAGCATGGTAGCACAGCAATGGCTAAAGCAAAAAGTTGCAGGGAAATCCCAAAATCAGTGCGATTTCACACGAGCCCCAAATGTTCAAGTTACCAACAAAGACACAAGCTTTCCAACTCTCTTTGGCCGTTGGAGAGGCGTACCGCCTGTTTGACCTTTTTTGGGTGCAGTCCTGTCACTGGAGTTGAACCTTGGTGTGAAAGTTGTCGCCTGCACGTGACCGCTTGTTCAATCATGTTCGATTGGGAATAAAGGAGGAATGCTGCATCGCAGCCTTTTCGGACCAAAATCAGTCGACTCAGCGTCCAAAAGACTACAACATATGGGCTAATCGCGGTCATCCGTGCTTTTATAAAAACGACATGGCGCTTTTAGTGACATTTTGCATACAAATCCCCATCTAGTAGGGCGCGGTCAACCAGTTTCGGTGGAAGTGCCCGAGTTCGATTGAGAAAAAAAGAAGGAAGGTAGCATCGCAGCTTCCTCGGACCAAGACCATTCGACTCAGCACCCCGAAGACTACAACTGGTGAAAATTTGATTTTTAGGGTATACTTCCCAGTTAAGTTATTGCATTTTTTTGTGACGGCGTTCCACTGTTGAAAGTCACGAGATAACGTTATGGAACTTTAAAAATTTTCCCAATTTTTGCTGTTGTTATGAGTGCACAATTTATCTTATTCCCGTAGCTATGCAAAAGAGTCTGGCGCTAGCCAGGGTCCACACAGCTTTAATTACGTGTTCGTGTGTTTGTGCTGTCGGCAAGTGCATATGCCTGGCGCTATCCCGTACCTGTCCCGTACCGTACCATCAAAGACAGCTGGCCACAATATTCAAATACGGCTTTCAAATGCAAGATCAT